CGCTCGGCGTCGCATGGGGGAGCGCGGTGTGTTAGCCATTACACTAACTGCTGGTTCCCCACCATTTGCTTTCTCACTTTCCCTGTTTGTCTCTCTCTGGTCAAATTAAATAATAAAGTTAAATAAGTATTTTTTTAAAAAAGATATTTCGTGAATCAATAAAATGTGGGGTTGGGAGGAAGGAATGGAAAGCAACTGTAGATACCAGAGACAGTGTAGGAGAAGAGTGGAAAATGGCAGAGGGTGAGAAATAGGGGGAAAATATATGTATATATAAGAAACAAGAAATGGAAAATTATTTGTTGATGATAACATGTATGATTAAGGCACTATACAGTGTATTCTGAATGGGAAATCGAATTTTGTATGCTGTGATGTTCAGTGAATGAATGTAAAATAAATAAATTTTAAAAATAAAAGAAGGGACCAGCAGTTAGCATAATGGCTATGTCGCTGGACTCCCATGTAGTCGACCGCGGTTCGAGTCCCGGACCCGGTGGCTTAAAACTCACGCCGGGCGCGTGTGCATGCGTGCCCAAGATCCCAAGAGGAGAATGGGGGAAAAGGGATTGCGGCGTGACCATCCCCCATGGGGGGTGATTTCTTGCTTTCTGTCTCTCTGTCTCTCTCTGTCTGCACACGCCCTATAGCGAAAACCTCTCCAAAAAAAAAAAAAAAGAAGAAATGGTTCAGTAACTTAGAACTTCCTAACTGGTGAGCTGCAATGACAAAGTGTGGTAAATGTGTCGAAGCCTGCCCTATGAAAGATATAGAGCCCATTAAACTTTGGAACAGCTAGATGACATCCGAGTGGTCAGAACACCCCACCATCAGGGATGACCAGCCTCCCCATGTGCTCCATCTTCTGTGTTTGTCCTAAAGTGAAAAGAAGTTGGGAAGCACCACACTAGTTACTGCTTTACATGTTTACATACTTACCCAGGCAACGGTCTTTTTTTTGTTTTCCCCCAGAGGGATTTTTTCCATAGGGCACGTGCACTTGCTGGAGAGAGAGAGACAGAGAAAAAGCAAGAAATCACCCCTCCGGGGAGCTGCCCATGTCACAATCCCCTCTCCTCCATTCTCTCGGGATTTTGGACACGCACACATGCATGCACATGCACCAGCATGAGTTTTAAGCCACCAGGTCCAGGACTCAACTGTGGTCAACCCAATGGGAGTCCAGTGATGTAACCATTACACCACCTGCTGGCCCCCAGACAATGGACTTTTAATGTCAAAGGCCAGGCTTTTCTCCCTTGATGGGCCACACCCAGGCTCAGATGTAGACATGACTGTGTCTCAGAGAGCAGGGACATAGCACGCAGCTTCTTGAGGGTTCTTTCACAGTCTCTTTTTGGTTTTGGAAACCCACATCAAAAGACTGTCAAGTGGGATCAACCATCATCTGCAGCTGAACAAAGGAAAGGGTTAGGGACGGTAAGAGTTAGGAGAGAAAAGGATGTCTTTTTGACACTAGTTAATGGGGTACATCGTTGTTATTTTGGTGTAAGGAAATTGAGCCTAATGACCCAAAATGACTAATTGAGCCTAAAAGATAAAATCATTTTCAGAAATTACTACTATTGAGGTCACTTTTATCTAAAGTACTTAGGGGTGGGGTTGGTGGAGGATGGGAAGAGAAAAACTAAACAGAATAGGAAAAGGGAACCTCTTGGACTCCTCTGAAAAGCGTTGAATTTATAATCCATAGGGATCCTTATTCCTTCCAGAGCTGAGTTATGGACAAAGTATACTTTACAGTAAGGGAAGCAAAATGTTTGATCAGCACTTAGGCCCAACAGGCAGAAGATGTGTATGTGGTTATAAAATGAAAAGACTTCAAAAAGTTTATGGGAAAATAGAATTAAAGTACAAGTTTAATTTTGTTGCAAAACGTTTGGAAATCTACACTTTCTCTCATAACATGCAGTTTCCAATAACTCTTTGAAATCCCCTTATGTAATCAAATAGGTAGCACAAAGGAGATTCAAAGAAACATGAAACAGTACCTAAAGACTCTCTTTGAAAGGATAAGTGCATTCCATTATTGTTGGGTAAATTTTATGGCCAGACTCACTTTTGAAGGTAGCATGGTAAAAACCACCCATTGGGATTTAGAATAAACTGAGAGGTCCTTGGGTGCCCACACTGGAGTGGGGCAGATTCTACATGTCTTCGTCCTTTGACCCTGTCCACAGTGACCAGCATGTTTGATAAGTGAGACAACCTGTGCTCAAAAGTCACCCCCTCCACAACAGCCCCGAGGCTCACTCAGCACTCACTCATTCACTCAGGCATTCTGCATTCTTGGTTCTTTGCAGGTCAGCTATGCCTCCTCCAGCAGACTCCTCAGCAACAAGAACCAGTTCAAGTCCTTCCTCCGTACTATCCCCAATGATGAACACCAGGCCACTGCTATGGCGGACATCATCGAGTACTTCCGCTGGAACTGGGTGGGCACAATTGCAGCTGATGATGACTATGGGCGGCCAGGGATTGAGAAGTTCCGAGAGGAAGCTGAAGAGAGGGACATCTGCATCGACTTCAGTGAACTCATCTCCCAGTACTCTGATGAGGAAGAGATCCAGCAAGTGGTGGAGGTGATCCAGAATTCTACAGCTAAAGTCATTGTTGTTTTCTCCAGTGGCCCAGACCTTGAACCTCTCATCAAGGAGATAGTCCGGCGCAATATCACAGGCAGGATCTGGCTAGCCAGTGAGGCCTGGGCCAGCTCCTCCTTGATCGCCATGCCTGAGTACTTCCATGTGGTCGGAGGTACCATTGGATTTGCTCTGAAGGCTGGGCAGATTCCAGGGTTCCGGGAATTTCTGCAGAAAGTCCATCCCAGAAAGTCTGTCCACAATGGTTTTGCCAAAGAGTTTTGGGAAGAAACATTTAATTGCCACCTCCAAGAAGGTGCTAAAGGACCTTTACCTGTGGACACCTTCCTGAGAGGTCATGAAGAAGGTGGTGGCAGAGTAGGCAACAGCTCCACTGCCTTCCGACCCCTCTGTACAGGGGATGAGAACATCAGCAGTGTCGAGACCCCTTACATGGATTACACACATTTACGGATATCCTACAACGTATACCTAGCAGTCTACTCCATCGCTCATGCCTTACAAGACATATATACCTGCTTACCTGGGCGAGGGCTCTTCACCAATGGTTCCTGTGCAGACATCAAGAAGGTCGAGGCTTGGCAGGTATGTCCTTCACTTAGATAGTAGTTCACTGAATAATAATGCAGAATTGGGCTGACACAGGCAAGGCAGTGGTTACTGCAAAATGACAGTATCTAAATCCCTTGGATTCAAATCACCTTGACAAACATCTTGAGCAAAATTGATAGTACTCTAATTTGAGTATCTGTTTAAAGCTTCAGTCTAAGTGTTTTTTCAGTCCTGTGATTCAGGATACGTGAAGTATGGTGCCTAAAAGTTTTCAAAATTGGAGCAATGTGCTCACCTACTTGCCACCCAAGGTTCTTTTGAAGATAAAAGGATATATGTAAAAAGCAATTTGTAAACATCCAAACTCTAAACAGACATGCCATTACTATAGTAGGCTTTCAGTATACCTCTAATTAATTAATTAGATTAAAAAAAAAAAGTATAACTAGAGTATCTTTGTATCTAGACTCCAATCACCACAGACCTTTTCAAAAGATACCAAGAAATAAAGAGCGTCAACTTCTTCATTTATTTCAGAGATTCTTATGGGATAGGGAATGACTGTCCAGGCTGATAGAGTAAGCCAGGACTTGCAAGTTTTTAGCCCTTCTATCTGAGGAACTCTCGGCCGTCATTGTCGGCTGAAGTTTCTAACCTCTGTTGGGTATTCAAAGCTTTCTTCCTCACACTAAGCTCCTACCCAGGCAAAACAGATCTAATGAAGATCAAAGACTATAAAGACTTCAAGACCCAAGAGGATGAGGTTTGTAATTGTAAATTGGAGAAATAAAAGGACAGTATTTGGTGGTAAATACTATTGTCTTCCCTTCCGTGTCACTGGAAGGAGGACCTCCCAACTCTTTATTTTTTTAATTTTTTGAGAGATTTTTGGTATAGGGCACATGTACTTGCTGAAAAGAGAGAGAAACAGAGAAACAAAAAATGAGAAATCCCCCTTTGGCGGGGAATGGCCACGCAGCAATCCCTTCTCCTCCATTCTCCTCTCGGGACTTTGGGTATACACACATACACACCTGGCATGTGTTTCAACTGTGGTTAGCCATGTGAATCCAGCATCCCAACCACTATGCCACCTGCTGGCCCCAACCTCTAACTTTTTTTTTTTTTTTGAGAGGTTTTTTGCTATAGGGCGCGTGCGCTTGCCAGATAGAGAGAGACAGAGAGACAGAAAGCGAGAAATCACCCCCAGGGGGGATGGCCACGCCGCGATCCCTTCTCCTCCATTCTCCTCTCGGGATCTTGGGCACGCACGCACACGCGCCTGGCTTGAGTTTTAAGCCACTGGGTCCGGGACGTGAACTGCGGTCGACTACGTGGGAGTCCAGCGACATAGCCATTACGCTAACTGCTGGTCCCCCAACCTCTAACTCTTGAAAAGTCTTGCAAGTCCAGGGTGGAGTTGAAGAGAAAAGAGGCTTCCAGTGGGAACTTCGGCAATTCTGCTTTTCACTGACCCCTGGTCAGTGAAGGCCAGAGCATGGGCCTATGAGGAAAAAACAAAACAAACAAACAAACAAAAAAAGCCAAAAATTAGGTGACCATCATGATTGAGGCGTTCAGTAGTATAGTAAAAAACCCTAATCAAATTGACTTACACAAAACAAAAACATGAGCCCTTTTGTTTGCTCATGTTACTGAAAAATTTAGTATACCAGAAACAACTACATACTTTCATCTGCATTTCTTTGTTCCTTATTCCCCAGGGTTAGTGGTTTTTAGCCTTTGCATAGCTTCAAGCTAAAAAAAAAAAAAAAAAAAAAAAAAAATCCTCGCTGCTAGGATCTCCTTACTTCCCAGGATCTTCTATAAAAGTCCCAGAAATCACGTTGGTTAACAAGTCCTGGGTCTCCTAAACATTCCCAAATAGCATAGACTGAGCATAAAGAGAATCGATACCAAAGGAAATCAGGATGTTATTAACAAAAGGAGAAGGAGGTGAAGGGGACAAAGCAGCCAAAATTCAAAATGTGCCACTCCACAGACACCTCATCTGACCCTTAGTCCAGGTAAAGATGTGTCCCCCTGGCTCAAACATGATCTGGCACAATTCATTCAGAAGAGAGGACAAGGAAATGGGATCAGAGCTCCAGAGAAGAATAACATGGGTTTAGCCAAAATGCCTGCATACTTACTGTCTGTCTCCATGAGCCTCGGGCATCCAGACCATTAGAGAGGGCTGAGGAGGGGTATGAACATTATAAACAAACATGGGTCATAGGTCCACCATCGAGTATAAATGGAACATCATGTAAGTAAGTATAGAACTGTCTTCTCTGTTCTCTCAGATTGATCGTACGCAAGGCATGCTTCCTACTTTCCTCAGTTCCAAATTTCCTTCCCTTCACTTTCCTCCACTTACTCTCAAAAGCAGGCATGTGTGATGACAGAATTGTGGTGATAACAGAGGTTAAATGGAATTGATCTTTCCAGGAATTGCTGATGCTGTTGGGTGTGTGTTTGTGTGTGTGGGAGGGGGCGAGGGGAAGATTGGGGTGAGAGCCAGAGAAGATGGAGGGGAAATTAGACAATATGGCTGAGGTTAGAGAAGGGAATTGGCCCTGGAGTCTTTGTACAGGAAGTGGTCAAAAAGCTACAAGTTAATTATCTGTGTAAACTGTCTATCATTGCCTATGTAAATAAGATGTTTTTCCCTCTGGGAAGAGTTGCAAGTCCTAGATAATTGTGGAATATTTCTAGTCTCTGGGCTTCGGCTTTAATCAATTGACAGAGTGCATGTCAAAAGGTGGATCCCATTTATATTTATAATGAGCAGTTGTTGACTTTAAATCCCTTAGAGGAAATACCCTAAAAGGCCACAAGGTGGAAACATCGCCCCATAAAAGAATATGTGATCTAAGCGTGTGTATTTCACGTGTATTTGCCCCTTCTAGATGTCTGTGTCTCAGTGTTTGGTTTTCTCTGTGAACCTGTCAATCTCTTCATGTCTGTATGCATCCTATTTTTAGTACTTTCTCCTAGTTTTCTTCTGCATTTCTTTTCTCCTTCATTTATTCTTTCCCATTCCTCACATTACCCCCCGGCCCCAATAAAATAAGTTGGAAGCTAATACTAAGATATATCTAAGATAAATTTTTATATTTTCTTTTTTAATGGAACTACTGGTTCCTTCTTGTAACAGTCTAAAAGCAGAAGTGCATTCTCTTCAGGGAAACTATCTAAACTTTTTAAATGTATGTTGCTTTTTGGTGGGTCAAGGATCTTCAATTTAAAGATTCCTTATCACGGCTTTTAAGGATAAAATGCTATTCATCTTCTGTGTTATGAGAATAAAACACAGGTATTATGCAGAAAATAAAGTACTCAAATGTAGAACTTGCAAATCAACATGCCAAAAGAAATATTATGTTTAAAGAGATGACTTAGAGATTTAGTAAACAGATGTGATTTGGAAACTGAGGTCATTGACTTAAGACCTTTATTCTCTCCTAATGTAGGCACTTAGTGCTATAAATATTAAATTAGTAATAGCGCTATCTGACAAATTTCGATAGGCCATTTTCATTTTAATTCAGTTCAAAAGCTTTTCAGTTTTTGTTTGCTCTTATTTAAAAGTGTGCTATTTGGTTTCCAAGTTTCTGAAGATTTTCCAAATATCATTTTGCTATTGATTTCTAATTTATTTCCATTGTAGTAAAAAAGTATACTTTGTTTGATTTGGATATTTTTTTAACTTATTGAAATTTGCTCTATGATCCAGATATGGTTTGTTTTGGTCAATATTCTGTGTTCTCAAAAGGAATGTGCATTTTGCTGTTGTTGGGGTGAATGTTGTATAAATGTCATTTCAGTCATGTTGATTGATAAGTGTTTCACATCTTTTTTTAAATTTATTTTTTATATTTTCCGAGGGAGGTCACCCTTAACAGAGTCCCCAGATGATGATCCATCCCAGTCTTGGTTGGACCAAATTATAGGCACGCATGTGTATACCTGATGTGCCCAAGGAGGTCCTAAGTTGGGAACCCAGGACCTTTCTCATGCTGGTTCAGTCAGGCTGCTGCTGTGTCACTGCCTGGCCCCAAAATCTTTTATGCTTTTAATTAATTTGCTATCTACTTGTTTTTTCTTTTCTTTTCTTTTCTTTTTTTTTTTTTTTTTTTTTTTTTTTTTTTTTTTTTTTTTTTTTTTTTTTTTTGAGAGGTTTTTGCTATAGGGCGCATGCGCTCACCAGACAGACAGGGAGAGATAGAGAAATAGAAAGCGAGAAATCACCCTCACGAGGGGATGGCCACGCTGCAATCCCTTCTCCATTCTCCTCTCGGGATCTTGGGCACGCACGCACACGTGCCTGGAGTGAGTTTAAGCCACCGGGTCCAGGACTCGAACTGCGGTAGACTATGTGGGAGTCCAGCGACATAGCCTTTATGCTAACTGCTGGTCCCATATCTACTTGTTTTTTCAACTAATGCAGATACCACGTTGATCTTATTTTTTCTCATTTATCTTCAGATTAATTTTTCTAAAACTTCATCATGGCCATCACTTTCCCACCCAGTAGGGTTGGACACTTCCATAATGTTAATGGTAGTTTAACAACTTTTCGATGTTGCCATAACATGTCATATCTATTCCTAATGTAATATTTTTAGCCATATTCTTCCCACTGTTTTTAACACCCTCCTTCCCTCTGTCTTTTGCCAGTCCAAATTCCTGCCTTGCCTTAAGCCCTCATTAACCATTTTAGCTCTTTTTACATCTCCATCTCCTCTGAATCTCTGTATTGAGATTTGATACCTGTAAGTTAGTCCTTAACTATATTTTATCTTGCACTGCCGGCTGCTTCATCAAATATTTAGGTCAGTTTATCCCTCTAATCCATATGTAAACTCCTTGTAGACTAGATAACTGTATCTTGTGTTTCTGCAGTCCAATTCAGAATACAGAGGGGATTTCCCATAAATATTTACTGGTTGATTGATTCTGCCAGTATACAAATACAGTCTTGGGGCCAGTGTTGTAGCACAGTGGTTAAGTGTTGTGCATTGGGAACCATATCCCACATGGCCAACCATGGTTTGAATCCCAGTCCCAGTAGCTTAAAAAACCAATTGGATATGTGTGTATATGCATGCCCCAAATCCTGATGGGATGGAGAAACAGAGGAAAAAAGATTATAGCATGACCATGCCCCATTGGGAGGTGATTTTTCTCTGTGTCTCTCTCTGATAGCACACATACCCTCTGGCAGTAAAAAATAAAAAGAAAGAAAAAAAAAAAAAAAAAGAAGAGTCTTATATTTCCAGTGAATTTTTAAGTGGAAACTTGGAGGGCCACTCAACATGGTGATTAAGGCATTTGGGTCCCACATAGCCAACTTCACAGTTCAAGTCCTAGACCCTGTGACTTGAAAAACATATCAGGAACATGGGCATGTGTACCCAGAATCTGGAGAGGAGACTGGAGGAGAAAGGACTGCAGCATGGTCATTCCTCCTGAGGAGTGCTTTCTCTCTCCCTCTCTCTCCCCCTCTCTCTTTTCCTCTGGCAAGTACACATACCCTACAGCAAATTCAAAACAAATAAATGGATATTTAGGAACTTTAAGAAAATAATTTTTGATTAGTTCCTCCTTCTTTCAAATTAGAATTATGGTAGAAATGTCTGGGCCATGCCAAAACAGTGCAGAAGGCTTTGTATCCAGAGATGATCTTTGAGCCATTCTGAGCCATTTATCAGTTCCATCTGACCAGTGTGAAAGACGGCCATTGAATTATGAAATGATCTTGTTCCAGCACCCCTCCCAGCAGCTACCCCCAATGCTGGAAGAATTTCATTACAGACAACTAGTGGACAGAGAAAAAGAGAGTTTGTTGCCTGGCATGTTAAAAACCAAGAACCAAGGAATTAAAACCTAACTAGGAAGAAGGAAATTTATGCTACTGTAGCTTGATTATTATGTCTGCACTTTTAAAGACTGCCAGAGGGCACATGTATCCACCAGAAAGAACCAGAGAATGAGAAAGAGGGAGAAAAAAAAAAAGGCACTCCTCCTCCCTCATTGAGCATGGTCATACTGCAATCCCTCCTCCCTTTCTCCATCCTGCCAGGGTTTTGGATACGCATGCATATGTGCCTGGCATGTTTTCCACGGCACTAGGGCTGACACTTGAACAGCAGTTGGCCATGTGGGATCCAGTTTCCTTAACCACTAGGCTGTGGGGCTGGCCTTACTACACATGTATTTTTAAGTGTTCTTCACACAAGAGTGATGGCTTTTAAAAATAGATTTAATGAGGAAATATTATTGACCTCTGACAAATATTTGCCATGGACACTCTAAGCAATTTATATTAGAAGCTAGATGATGTACCAGAAAGGCCCATATTTAAATCCCAGGTCCAGCACTTACTAGCTGCATGACTTTGACAAGTCTCTCTACCTCTCTGTGCCTCAGTTTCAGCATCTGTGAAATAAAACAGTAATCGTTCCTCTCTGTAAGCTGTGGTGAGGATTGCGTATGAGTGTGTGAAGCATTGGTGAGGTGCCTGGCACCTAAGAAGTATAAACAAGAGGCAGTTCTCTACCGTTCCACTCTTTCCATCTCTTTTTGCCAATCGGGGTGACAGAACAACAGCAGAGTTAGCATGGCATGGGGAAATTGTATACTAGACACCTTTGCACTGACCAATAATCGAAGGTATGTAAGACCAAAGTATGGCGGACTTTGGAAACTACCAAGAGTCATTTGATGCATATTGCATCTGAGCCCCAGCAGGAAAGGGGAAGATATAATTATGGCATGGGGAAGGATGACAAGGCCACATCAGAAAGCTTTCAGAGCAGCTGGGTAGAATGAGGCTTTAGTGCTGCAGGAGGGGGTCGGTGTTAAAGAGCAGAGGGCCGCAGTGCTCTGAGGGAAGAAGAATGCGTCAGGACAGGGTTGGGGTAGGGACCAAGAGATGTGTAGCACTCTGTGTAGGAGGATGTCAAGTCGTCTCAAGGGTGAGGAGGGAAGGGAAAGGACCGTGGAGATCTCAGAAAAGAGCATGTCTGGGACACCTCCTCTCTTCAGACTGAGTCCTCAGGAGAAAGTAAGGCAAAATAAGATTGATGAATGGGGCCAGCAGATGGCATAATGGTTATGGTGCTGGACTCCCATGTGGTTGACTGCAGTTCAAGTCCCAGGCCCAGCAACTTAAAAATGGCAGGTGTGTGTGCATGCATGCCCAAGATTGCAAGAGGAGAATGGAGAACAGATTGTGGCATGCCATTCCCCTGGAAGGTGATTAGTCACTTTATGTCTCTCTATTTCTCAGATGAGTACACACGCCCCATAGCAAAAATCTCTCTCTAAAAAAATCAAAGAAGGAAACCAGCAGTCAGCTGGACTCCCACGTAGTCGACTGCGGTTCGTGTCCCAGACCTGGTGGCTTAGAGCTCACGCCAGGCGCGTGTGCATGCGTGCCCAAGATCCCAAGAGCAGAATGGAGGAGAAGGGATTGCGGCATGGCCATCCCCCCTGGGGGGTGATTTCTCACTTTCTGTCTCTATGTCTCTCTCCGTCTGTCTGGCGAGCGCACACGCCCTATAGCGGAAAAAACTCTCCCCCCAAAAAATAAGATTAACAACCATGGTGGGAGGGTCAGGAGAGCATGTGGCACAAACCCTTGATAGGATTCATTCTCCATCTTGTCCCAGGACATCTTGGCAGCTCTAATTGCAGAACAAAAGAACCAGGTAGCAGAGAGTGAGAGGGTCCCGCTGTCTGATAGGCCTGGGATAAAAGTCAGGGTGGCTGGGGCCCACCAGGGTAGCAGTGAGGACATTAAAGGAGTAGACCATAAACAGCAGGTGTGACAGGGCACCCAGGGTGGTGTGCCTCTGAGCACATGTGGACGGCTGTACACTCTGCCCCAAACACGTCTCAGAGCTGCTAATGAGAAAATTCAGGGGACTCCTTTTCTCTAATTTTCCTTATTATTAATAAATGTTTATTTAGAAATGAGGTCGATACAGATATAAATTGTTTAGAAGTGGTGTCATCTCTGGAGTAGAGTGGGACATGAAAGGGGCTCCTGAGATTCTGGGCTTAGTCAGTTCAGCTTGCCACACCCATGAGAGTGGGTCACAGGTGCAGGGCCTGGCCCCGAGAAAGATCTATAAGCCCCCCACTGGACAGACGCCACCCAGACTTACCCCAGTGTCAGATTAGCTGTTTTATATAACTTTAAAAAAGTGATGCAGGAACCAGTAGATGGCGTAATGGTTACATTGCTGGACTCCTGTGTAGTTGACCATAGTTCGAGTCCTGGACCCAGCAGCTTAAAACACACTGGGCACATGTGTTGTGCCCAAGATCCCAAGAGGAGAATGGGAGATAAGGGATCGTGGTGTGGCCATCACCCTGGGGAGTGATTTCTTGCTTTCTGTCTCTGTCTCTCTAGTGAGCACACACATCCTTTAGAAAAGATATCCCTAAAAAATTGAAATGAAATTAAAATAAATAGATAATGATGCAGATGGCCAGACAGTAACACAGCAGTAAAATGTGACAGTCTGTAAGGTAATCCCTCCTGAAACAGCTCTCCCTCTGGACACAAGTCCAGAGGCCTCCCTGAGGCTAAGCATATCTTGTCAATGATCTGGAGCTAGCTCTAGACTGGACGTGGATTGTGTCATCAGGACTCTCTCTCTCTCTCTCTCTCTCTCTTTCCTCTTGGAATAAATAAATAAAGAGTTTGTGAGAGGTAACATTTAAAACATAATGATAAAAGGAAGAGGTCCCTCTAAGTGTATTTCTGGGGCCGTCAAACCACAGAACAGAGAGAAGTCAATACTAGAGCTTGGAGAGACTACAGACCCTCTGACCCAGTCATCTCATTACACACGTGAGGAAATGGGCTTGGAGTGGGGGAATGACGATGGCTCATGGGGTGCACTGGGAGCAGTCACCCTGACACCCACAGGCTGGACCATGTCCCATTCTCACTTGGTGCCTTGATGACATTGGGAAGTTCCCAAATGAAAGAGGAGCTACTGGAGTGCCTGCTGCCTCCTCTTGACCAGGGTCAGGGCACAGCAGAGCCAGGAACTTGACGCTGCAATAGAGCACAGCAGCTAGGAGCACAAGCTTGTGACCCCAGAAATCTTAAGTTTTCCGTCCTCATTTTCTCCATCAATAAAATGGAGTAACCATCCCATTTGTTGTGAAGATTGGGTTAATGAATGTAAAGTACTTAGTATCATGCCTCATAGGTAGTAAAGGTAGTACAATGACTAGGATGTTTTAGTAATGATCATGATTGCTCTTTCATGCAAGGGTTTTTTGACCTACAAAACTCTCTCACACTTGCCTCTGACAATAGTAGTGGTCCAAGCTCTACTCACAGCTTCATTTCTTTCCTTCTTCTACCCCACTCTCTGTGATTTTGGCAGCAAGACACTTGCACAGA